ATAAGAAATAGGCCAAAAATCAAAAACTTTGAAGGAGATGAAAACCATTTATTAACCATATAATACATATTTACAAAAAATTATTTTTTCAGTTTTGTAAAGAGATACAAAGGAAACATAAAACTGACTTCTGACCAAATTTATTAATATATACCCTGTATCAAGAGTTAATAACATGGCCTTTACTCTTGATAACTTGTAAATGCTTAGGGTATGGGTCAACAAGGTTCCTGTATGTATCAATGCTAAGTTTTGTCCTTTCTTCCTTGGCATACTGTTCAAATTCTTTCAAATTTTTAGTTTGTTTCTTTTTCTCCTCTATTTTCAGTATGCGCCATAAATTCTCAATTGTATTGAGATCTGGACTTTGACTAGGCCATTCCATGACATTCATGTGAGAATCCTTGAACCACTTCTTGACTTATGGATGTGTTCTTCAGAATATTATCCTGCTGATTACTGTATCAGGACCATGGGAAAGTTTTGCTGCATCCTGCTTGATGTTATTTTTGATGATATAAAGATATCGTTTTTTTCATGATCCCATTTACTTTAATCTGACTTCCTGGTCCCCTAGCAGAAGAAGAACTCCAAAACATTAGCTAGCCACCCCCATGTTTAACTGTGGGATTGTGATCTATGGATTATGAGCCTCACCTTTTTTTCTCCAAATGTAAGCAACATTTATATGCCTGAAACATTCTATTTTAGTCTCATCTCTCCACAAAATCTTGAAGAAAATGAGGTTGGCAAATCAACACGAGCTTAGCAAACTTCAGAGCCCTTCTTTGTGAGAATCTACAATTTGTAATGTTTACAAAAACTTAGAAGTGGACATGCTAGGCAACAGCTTTAAATGGATAGCTCTAACATTCAGGCAGGTGAAAATAAGAATGTACATTTTGACAACAGTATCAACATATTTGACATAAATGTGACCTGTGTAGTCAACACCAGTATGCTGAAATGGCTTGGCAAAGTTTACTTTAACGGCAACAAAGTCTGTTACTTTCGGATATATGAAAGACAAACTATTTAGTTTCTTGCACAAGATACACTTTGAAATGATGCTCTTGACAGTGGCTCTTCCCTTGGGAATCCAGAACCCAGCATTACGTATAGCGTTAAGAGTTGAACTGACACCCAAGTGCTTGATTCTTTCGTGGTAATCTCTTACTATCAAGAGCGTAAGGAAGCTTTCACATGGCAAAAGAATGGGATTTTTGACATTGTAAATCAAAGAGACATATTCAAGAGAAATCAAAGAGACATATTCAAGTCTGCCTCTTGATCTAATAATATTGTCGGAGTCAATGAACAGATTTAAATTTTTAACCAGCAGCGGCAGCTCCTTCTGTGGAGAATGTAGAAATGTTAAAACATCAGAGAAATGGTTTTCCTGTTCAAATTTGAGCCAGTACTGTCACGCTTGGATACGAACATCAACAGCATCACACAGAAGTTTACTTGATTAATGCACAAAAGTTAGCACAAGGGCAGTTACTGATACAAGTTTGTTGAATGATGAGAAGCAATTTAAAGGAAATAATGGTTCTTTGCAATTCGCTTTTCCAAAGTTAGTCAAAATTTTACTTTGAGAAGACAAACAGCCAAGCTCAGCATCAGGCCAAAGCAAAGGTTTTGAGGTAAGGAAAGAAAGACCGAATTTCCAAAAATTCAGGTTGCTGGTTTTTGAATTTCAGGTAAATTTGAAATAAACACTTCATGTTTATTTCAAAGTGTTAGCTTTTCTCATAACTAAGTCTTGTTTCAAGTCCTTTGAGGTTTGTTTGGTTATTGTTCAGTTTGTTTAGTATCGGTTTATTGGTCTGAATTAAAGGGGAACATTGCAGTCAATCACTACTAGTCAGTGTGTATAGAGGGTAGAGTCTGGTAGATTTATAGGATATAAAACTAGTAGATCTATTTATAGTGCTGTGCACTGTGCTATCAGCTACCTATCTGTTACTGTTATGCAACTCTTCAATGTTTAGAAGATCTACATTCCTGAAGTGTTTTTGTATATTGAAGCCAGTTAAATGGTCAATATTTAGCTCATTACCTTGCTCAATACAAACTTTACAAAGCTAATGAATAGACTTATCTATTATTGTTTACCCAAAAATCCCAAAGTGGTAAATACCGCCTTGGCCTGTTGGCCATTATTGAAGGCAATAAGTGCCCTTTTTAGCCATTCTTTATGATCCATATAGGTACTGTTATTGTTAGTAGGCTAATTGCAACATAAAAAATAACCTTCCAAAAAGACAAAAAAGTTGAAAAAATCAAATAAAAAAGAAAAATCATGAAAAAATAAAGAAATCATTGATTTTTGATTTAAAAAAAAATAAAAAATGAAAATCACCAACCCTGTAGTTAACCACAAAATTCAAAATAATTACTGGTGAAGGTTATTTGCTAAATATTTTCTAGCATTACAGTAAATTATTTTGTTCATTATAATGACAACCTTCCCTAGAAGAATAAGTTGTAAATGGTCTTTCCTGTTATTTTAAGTTGGAAGTCATTACATTTCTAATGGGGTATTGTAAGAGGAGGCGTTCGGTCCCGGTAAGTTTAATATTTATATTAAGGAGGTAGATGGTACAGCGGTGGACAAGACTGGCATGTAAGGCTACTGAAACCACCTGGGCACAGCTTAGAGAAATATATTATGAAACACTGAAACCAGCATACAACCAACAAAGTGTGCAGACACCGCCAGTTGGTGCAGAGTGAAATGGGGTTAGTAGTGGTATGATGGTATGGCAGCAGCAAGGCACGCTAGCAGTTGGAGCTTGCGCGTTAACAACACAGCCAAAATCTCGCAAAATCACCAGGCCCTCAGTCCTGGTTGCAGCTAGCAAATTGCAAGTCCTAATCACTAAAACAAAAGAACCAGTTAAACAAGGTCACCCACACGGGCTGACATCACACAAGATACAAATGGCAAACGCATGGTCAGGCAATAATAAAATCAATCCCTAATTACAATCTAAAATTGCTTGTTTCTTTTACTAGAACATCACAATAAAAACATATTTGCACTGGCACAATAATTCCGGACAATGTGAAATTTAGTTCAGCAAGTCTCTCCTCTGTGTGCTCCACTAAGGTTGAGGCAGGTTACTCAAAGGAATAACTGTACTCTCGGTGCTCGTCAACAGCCCACCACAAGGAGCAATCCAATTTCACTTGCTGCACTGGAGTCGTGGTGAAGGGTGCCCTTGGATTCAGTTTAATTCCCAGGTTTTTCTAGACTCAACTCTTGATGCCCTACAAGTGAACGAAATGCGGGAATTGGCTTTAGTGCACGACAGGAGAGCAAGTGACAGATATACGAGTATGTAACATAATAAAATATAACGCAATAAATGCATTGGCACACATGACAATTATAAATGTAACACAAATGAGTGAATATATAAAAGAGTGGGAGCATTAAAACCTGGTTCAGGCAAATGTTACTACTCACCCATAAAGGGGCAAAAGCAGGCAGGCAATCAGCAAGCAGCAGGATCAGGCAAGGCACGTTGCAGCATCAAATGTCTGGTGAACTTGCATCAATTCCATCAACCACGGCACAGGGATAAGCTTAAGGCTGGCACAAATACATGCACTGACTCAAAAGATCTATCTGAGAGTGATTCACATTCATGAGTCTGGAAAGAGAGAACACAGGTGAGTGGAAGGAATGCATGGCGCAGCAAGCTGAATAATGATACACAAGCCACACCACTACAGTATGAATAATTTTGTGCACAAGTGGGTGTATTTGATTTTTGTTGATTTTCATTGATATGTCTCCTGCTGTTCAAACTGCATAATATAAGCCCTGAAGGCCTCTAGGCAACAAAAGCATTAGCAAATTTTATCTGTATCAACAAGGAAAATATTATTTTACAAGCAACTGTAAAGTGACATGTTACAGGCCATATTGTACAGGCCTTCACACAACCTATTTCGATGGACAACTTGTTCAGGACATATGACAATGATGTGAAATCAAGAGGCAATTGTCATATATCTCCTGCATATCAAAGTCCATTTTGTGATTTATGGGATTTTGTATGTTTTTTTTTGGCATTCCTGTCATATTGTTGGAGAGAAACTTCACCAATGTGTGAAGTAACTGATATTTGCTCTATTTAAGCTCTGCATTCAAATTATTCTTCAAACTGAAAGTTAATTTAATTTGTATGCTGTCATTACTTGAATTGAAAAATATGAATAACTTGCATTGATTATAAAATCCAATACTTTTTAGTGATTCAGTTTTTTTGTAATGGAAGCTATCAGTGATTTTTTTTCCGTTAAACAACCATTTTCTCCTGATGTTAAACAACCATTTTCAAAAGAGATATACCAATAAACCTTTGATTTCTTACAACACCAGTGAAAAATAACATTGGTGAGAGCAAGTAAACAAATCTTGAAAAGCAATTGTCATGTATCAAGTGTGTGGCTTCAATATGAGAAATTTATTTTTTGAAGCTTGATTTTCTTCCTTAGGCAGAGAATTGACTAGTTTTTAAATAATTTTCATTAATAGACATGTTTATGAATAAATGAAACAAAATGTGTTGGTTAGGAGCTAGATACTAGTGCCTACCACAAGGTATTTAATTCTATATATATTGAATATGCCGAAGTTTGATCATTTTCAAGCACCTTATTTAGGAGAAGGGGATTGTTTGCTACAGCAAGTCATGGGGTGCAAAAAAAAAAAAAAAACTTTGATTAGCTTAGATACCACAAAATGAGTTCATGTGTCTAATGTGTTGCACTGCTGAAATTTGGTTGGTCTAGGAAGTACTCTTGTGAGTACCTAAATTAATTACTTTATGGTTACCATTGTTGGATAGTCTTGAAAGCATTAATATCGCATGAACAGTTCATGCTTTTGTTGATAATTATTTGACAAATGCTGTCCTATCAGCTTTCTCTGCTATTGAACTGATGAATTTCAGCCTAACTGATGCAGTGTTTTTTTATTTCAGAGACAAATCTTCACACACCCGCGTTTTCCTGGAAAATCTCCCTAAGGACATAAGGAAGGATGAAATAGACAAAACTTTCTCGCGTTTTGGCCACATTGCTAAAGTGTACTTGATATATGATCCTCCCGGTAGTGGTTTTGTTGAGTACCTCGACTGTAGAGATGCTGAATACGCAGCCAACCAAATGGATGGCGCCGAGTTCATGGGCGCTCGAGTGTCAGCTAAAGTGACTAGAGGAGGAGTGGCGAGGGGCAGAGGTTTCTCACGAGGCGGTCCCTTCAGGGGTCGTGGTTACGGTGACGGCGATCGTGGAGGTTTCAGAGGAGGTTTTGTACCGCGTGGTGATTACAGGGGAGGCCGCGGAGGAGGGTTCAGGGGGAGTTTCCGTGGTGGTGATCGCGGCGGTTTCAGAGGACGCGGTAATTTCAGAGGTAGCTTCCGTGGAGGCTTTGATGGAGATCGAGGTGGGTTTGGAGGCAGGGGTTACAGCCGTGGTGGTGGCCGTGGATATTATGAAAGAGGAAGTGGCTTCAAGTCTGGAGGTTCTTATAGCTCTCATGATGGCTATGAAAAATTCGATTCTTTTGAAAAGCCGTACAATAAGAGCTATGACAAAGGATATGACAAGCCATACGACAAAGGTTATGACAAGCCCTATGACAAAGGTTATGACAAGCCCTATGACAAAGGCTATGACAAGCCTTACGACAAAGGTTTTGACAAGGCATATGATAAGGGTTATGACAAACTGTACGATAAACCATATGACAAATACGAAAAAGAAAATGGTTTCTCCCGCTACCCGCCCTCTGAGAAGTACGCAAGTGGCGGTTACAGCAGCAGCAGTGGATTGGGTGCACCTCGCGAAGGCTACAGCTCCTCCCGTCGAGATGATTATGCCCGCAGCCGCTCTCCAGTCTCAAGGTCCCGGTACAAACCTTCTTCTCCGTACCCTGCTCGCGACAGGTATTTTGCTCATGATCTTTACCTCAGTTCTTGACGGCCTTCTTGCCGCAACTGCTTAACCAAGACGATCCTCTTCTCGCTGAATTCAAATGCAAAAAAGATAATAAAATCAGTTTTGAGATTTAATATTAATTTCGCTAATATCAATGAACTAAAACCTGGTTGTGCCACAACACTGAGATGGAGGCCTGAAATCAGATTATCTTCCCTGTTTGAAAAATTGAAACAAACGAAGTTCATCTTTCATGATTAAATGCTGGTCTACGCATCAGTTCTGAAAATTATCAACTCTCTTTAAATTAGGGGCAATTGGATGAATTTAAAAGAATTCGTTGGTCTGGCCAAGAATTTATTACACGGAAATGGTTAAATTTGCAGTGCATGAGGCAATCTTTAAGCAGTCCTTGAAAATTGAGAAAACGTTTTTATTGAAAATTAGAAAAGGGATGTTGGATTAAGGCTGTACAAGACGTCTATGAGCTGTGATAGTTAAGGACATGCCTGAAGTACGGCTGTGTAAAAGTACCTGAAAATGCAATAATTCTGTGATAATCATTCGTGCCGTTGTCTTTGCAAGTTTTTCTTTAAAGCAGTTTCTTCTATGTAGTCTTGGTTGACTTGAGAACATGAACGATGCAGATGAAAAATTTAAGTCGTTAATGTTCTGAAGTTAGTTGTATCGTAGTAATCTTGTCTTGCTTGTTCTCTTGTTCGTATTTTGATGTTCTTTGATAGTCTTTAATTTCCCTTATTCATCTGCCCGAATCTTATGCCTGAGAATTAATATATTCCTTCATTGATTTACCCGGTTCTGACAATTCTGCTAATATTTTTAATTGCTCACAATCTCCATTTTGTCTTATTTATGATTGTTTTTTCATATTATGGAACTAATTTTTGTTATGCTTCTTAAGATGCTGTCTTCCGTGTGCCATATTCAATTTTATTAACTCAGTTAAATATTCTTCGCATAGCCTAAGGTTTTAGACAACCTGAAGGCTTATCCCTTTTTACTGGCTCGTGTTGCAATTATCACTGAAGACGAAATATTTTCGTATACCCGATTATCTAAAACGCTTGATTTTCTCACATGGTCCCAATTCTGTTACTCGTGATTATTAGTTGCTTGTTCTGAAACCATGTTAAATCAATGACTTTGCTTGGTCTTATTTTTCTAAAGTTGCACATTTTAGTTACTGAGAAAAACGCCGGAAGCAAAAGTAGTGGAGTACGGTCGTGAATATCTTCTTAATGGTTCTTCGGATCTGCACTGGAAAACATACAGGCATGTGCTCTGGTCATTGATCGACCTATTTGGAAAAATACTTGGAAGTAAAGTTTACACAGTTCATAATTCACGAAATAGGTGTATAGCACCCGCGAAGAAAATGGACAACGGATGATTTTCCTAAACATTGCCATTAGCTGGAATATAACTTCTGAACACACGTCATAAGAAAGAATGGCTGAAATAATGTATTGAAAAATTGTTTGAATCGCGTTGGTTGTGGGTAGTGCTCGATCCCTGAGATAGGTAGTTTAGTGCTGGACTTAGTGCGGCTGATCTTGAAAATGGGTTGCTCTGTTAACAGAGAACTTCTCACATCATGTTCCACAAAAAGAAATGGAAGCACACCCTACTTAGGAAAAATTTAACTTAAACTCTCGAGTGAGCTCGATTTGCATCGATCAGAAAAATGTCATTCAGTAAATGATTAAGTCGTTCGGATTTTCTGGAACGCTGTTCTCCCTATATTTGATGACTATCCCCGTTTATGGCCGTCATTCTTGTGTAATTAATTAGCGCAAAGTTGACTCGCATTTCAACTGAGCTAGAACAAACATTATTGATAACTTTTACGGGAAACGAACAAGTCACGTGTATATATAGTCACGTATACCTTGCAGTTAATCCAAATCTGATCCAAAGCACTTCCGCCCTGACGGTGAAACACTCTGGAATTAACCTTCGTTTTCTCTCGCAGCTTCATGGATGCTGCACTTGAATAAGATGAAAATTTTGGGACCATAACAAATTTGGGACCATAAATATAAAGTTTCATTTTTTGCACATGTAAACAAAATTGATCTCTGATATTTTACTGTTGAAAGCGTCACATTTTCAAAAGCAGCCAAAATATTGGCGGATCCTCTAATGTATCTTATTTATGTGAATTTTGCTTCTCTGTGTGAAAGTTGCCTTGGACAGTTTACTGATAGAAGGATGGCGGTGCCGTGGATTTACAGGTCCCGTAGTCCTCACCGTGCAATGGATGACCCGTACTACCGCGGTGCCGGTGGCTACAGCACTTCGAACAGCAGCAGCAAGATGCCCTATGTCGCATCTTCCGTCGCCGTCATGAGTAGCAGTAAAGGCCCAGGATGGGAAGATTACGGCGGTGGCCGCAGTGCTTCCTATGACCGAGATAGGCGGCGACCGCCGGCAGACAGAGACAGTGATAGAAAACGCGATGAAGGATCGCGCTCCTCACGATACTCGTCGGGATACTCCACATCGGGCGCTCCCCAGAAGGAATATTTTGCATCAAGGTACAAATCTCCGGTATAGCTCTTGATATTTCGTAATTCATTTTAAAGTAATATGCTGTGATATTTATCTTATCTCACGTTTCCGATTATTGACAGTTTGCACATTGGATTGAGTATAAACATATGTGCTCATCCTACGTACCTCGATAAACATGAAGCTTTTCAGGATGATCAATCGTTCTCTTTAGTATGGGAATTCGCTCGTGCTCTGTTCTTCGTCCCTGAGATCTTGCTGAAAGACCCTACATCTCGATCCCTGCCATGGCGTTGCGATTATGCACTATGAAATTGAAATTGACAAACTGAAACTGCCCAAAGAGTCGATATTCAAAGGTATAGTCTTGTAAAAAGTTCTCTCTTGTCTACCGTTTCTGCTGCTGTACATTTTCTTGTAGAGCAAAGTGAACTATAATCGGTAATTACGCACGATCTAGCAATCTTTCTGGAACTTGAGAAAACGATTGGCCATGGAAAACCGAGAATTCGATGAAAACGCCGCGTTGCCAGTTTTAAAACTGAAAAATGTTGAGCCCTTCAGGTTTTTATGTGAGAATCAGCCCTTATAATTTTACTAAATTAGCAAGTTTTATGACATCGTCTGGGTCACCCATAAATTATCAGCGACGCGTCAGGGTCTCGACGGAAAAAGAAAACAGTTTGGTTGGTCTTGAACTGATGAAACTCGTCACATAACACATAACTACATGTCTGGCAATGGAATCGTGTTTAGCGAACGGTGTTTAGAGTAGGTCACGCATCCTGATTCCCCGCTGTTTGAATCCAAAGATTTCCAAAAGGCGAAAACTCGAATGCTAATGAATTTCAGAAAAAAAATCCAATGATAAAGTTATTCGAATCTGTAACAAGTATTGTTGATGGAAACGAATCAGAGTACACCTTCGTGTGTTAATTTTTTAAGCATTATTGCATGAGGTTTTTATCATTAGTTGCTTCTTTTCAATTCCTGTGTTTATTTCTTCCTTGCATTCACGTTTGAAATTTATTTTTGGTAGTTGTATGCTATAACGTTAACAAAGATTTCATTCAACGTCCGTGCGATGATGTTTATGTCCATTTATTTAAAATGAAATGTCAGGCGCGATCAATTTGATGAACTCTGGCTTGTTCGTCACTCTAGGGGATTGTAACGAATTTTAACGCCTTTTTCACTCTTTTGCATACTGAGAAGATCTTGAAGAAAGGTTAATGCAAATCATCTTCATTTATCGTCCACACATTCAAAGCGTTAACCCTGAACTTTAAGTTTCAAGAAACTTGTAAACGGTTCAAACCAATGCTTCAATGATAGAAATATGGCCAATTAGTGTAATTGCATTGACATCGTTTGGAGAACGGACGATTGGAATTTACTTCCATTGCAAGAAAATTATTGGATTTGGATTGAAATTCAGGCCGCAGTGGGACTGTCAAAATTGCGTTTGGAACTTGTTAGACTTCACTTTGGAGTTACAAAGATACTAAAGAGAAAAGGTCGGGGTGGATTGAAACCGCTTGAAACTTTTTGGGGAACAAAGAACAACTCGATGGACGGTGATCAGTGAGAATATCATGCATGACAATTTTGAAAAATAGAACCTTGAAGTAATGGAGAACTTTGTAGACCAGTTGACCGGCTTCTTAATGCTTGACTGGAATGTCAGATGGGAAACCTGATGTCATTGTTGCTAACCCGACTCTGTGTTTCTTCCCACTGCAGCTCGTCTTATGGAAGCCGCCGAGCTGACGATGTGCCGCGTTATTAACGCACTCAAGACCTTCGTGGGTTACTCGTAGCGTTACCGATCTCGAGTCTCGTCTACGTGTAGGGTGTGAGAAGACTTATGGAAGCCCTCACGGTTGAAACTTAACTAATAAGTCTTGACATATATGGTTTTAGTTCTAGTAATATGTGTGCTCAATGAGCTATCATCCTTGAAAATTTCAACTTATCTCATTTGTAGCTTGACGCTCGCATCGTCTTGCATTTTATGAGTCATCCGAATCTACCGTCTAAAATATGCTAGTGTACAGAATAATGTGAGTTGTTTTCATGGTCGGAGGTTGTGCTTGTGAACGTTCGGCTTTACCGAACACCAGTGGAGTCTTCCACTTGAGTTCGATGACCATCGGTCGTTCTGTAACGAATTTCTGGAACTGCTATAAGTTGCGGTTGAAATGCTTCATAAATATTGTACCATTTCATGGAACTTGAATATTTTAACGAAATGTTTCCAGTTGTGAGTAACCAATTTATTTCTCTGCGCTGCGTATGAATGGTGAAAGTTGATCAGTGCAGACCTACCTATTGCTTCTTGTGGAACATTCATTCAAACAGTAGAACAAAAGTTTAAAAGTGAGGTGCAATGAAGGAATATAGACGTTTTCACATTTTCTAAGTTAACCTATCACGTGCGACCGCAAAATAAGCTGAATAAGCCTTAGAGCAAAAAGTACCCTGAAATGCTTAGTTACGATCAGAAGATCCGATTAGATTTAGTGTGTACAAGCAATCATTGTTTGATTTTGAAAGGTGAGAAAAAACACTACCGTAATGATCTTCTTTCAAGTTGTTATGGCCCGACAGAAGAAACCGGCACAACTTTATGGAAGCTGATGATAAAAACACCGGAAATAGAAGTTTGAAAGACTTATTCCAGGAACTAAGTTCTCGGGACCAAACGGATTGAGAATAAAATTTGCAAGCCTCTGAAGTTTTGTTTCAAATTTTTGATAGCTCACAAGTAGCGTAAAGCAAACGTGTTTAATTTAAATACATACCCAACAAAACGGTATTGGTCCTTGCCACAGTAGTGATCTGCAACACTGTTATATATATGCGCGTTCGCTGGTAAATGGAATACTCTCGTGGATATTAAGTTGGTTTTGAGGCGCGAGCATGAACAACCACCATTGAAGAGTAGGTTAGTCCTATGATGTTCTAGATTTAATCTGTAAGCTAAACTTTGTCGTCACGTGTGGATGTCGCAATTTCCTAAACGCAGGCCAAGAGTTGCTTCGTGATCGCGTTTATGATTTGAAAATCCTGAACGTATGACGCAAATAATCTTACGTTCTCTCAATACTATTGGTTGTCTTGAGTCAAGATTTGTGAAGCGCGAAATCTTTTGCGAAGAAATTAGATGTCCAAGGCACCGCACCGTTCTTTTCGATGAAATTTAATCAATCTACGAGTACATTGTTGAAATTACAGAAGTGGTATTCCAGGGTAAACATCTTGGAGTTCCAATTTGAATTCGAATGCCATTTATTTTGCGACATTTTCATTTTATTTCTCTGTTGCAAGTTTTGATTGAGAATTGTAATGATACCTTAGCTCCGAAGCCGAGCGTTTTTTATAGTTACGTACATGATTTTACAACGCAAGGGGCTCTAAGCGCCCTTCATTGTAGTACTGTTACTTCAACAATGCTTGAATTTTAATAGTTGGGCTCTTCTGGATTCCGTTGTACGTTATGTAAATCATTGCCTCATTTCCATGCACAGAAACCGCTAAACCTCTTCACTAACTTCGCCGATTGGCTGGTTCACTCCAGATGTATACTGGATCAAACCACGATTTTCAGCCGGTCGGCTTCTTTCTTCTGCCAATTGTGTGAATATATGTTTTTTTTTCGTTTAACCGCGCTTCAAGGAGTAAGCTAACGATTAGTTTTCATGTAGGATTAAATGTGGACTTTAACATTTGTTTTCTTTTCCTTGCTTCCCGCTTCTTGGTTCCGTCATGAATGCATTCATTCATAGATAACATAAGGTGATAAGGATGTAAGCATGAACTACGACCAGCTGCTTGAATCTTGCTAGTGTGCAGCCCCTTTTTGGTACGTCTCTACAAATTTACGGCCGGTCTCCCCAAAGTCAGTAAGCATGGAATATCTCCCGAAGTAATGAACGTAGCTCGATGAAACTTGGTACACGTATTCATTAGGACGTAACGGTGATGTTTAGCTCGTGAACATTTTTGGAATTTCACCTCAATTCGTGATTTATATGACGATACATGCCAAAATTTGCAGTGAGCATGAAATTTCTTCTAAACTACTGTACTTATTTCAACGAAACTTTGAATATAGAAACCTAACCTCCCAATGGTGATGTTTAGCTCGTGGCAATTTTTTAAATTAGCCTTCCTTTGCGAGTTTATTCACTTTTACCTCATTTGTGATTTAAACAGCAATACGTGCTTAAATTCGCACTGAGCATAGAATTTCTCCTGAAATACTGAACGGATTTGAAGGAAACTTCGTATATGAATACCTAACCTCCCAACGGTGATGTTTAGCTCGCTACAATTTCTCCGATTTTGCCTAGTTTGCGAGTTATAGGTCAATGCAAGTTTAAAAATTGCCCTGAAAAATGCCGGTCTTATATCCGTATAACTCACAAACGAAGAGGAAATCGAAAAAAATTGTCACGAGCTAAACATCACCGTTGGGAGGCTAGGTATTCATATTCGAAGTTTCCTTCAAATCTGTTCAGAATTTTAGGAGAAATTCAATGTTCATTGTTAATTTAAGCACGTATTGCTGTTTAAATCACGAATGTGGAAAAATTAAACTCGCAAACTCAAACGAAGGCAAAATCTAAAAAATTGTCACGAGGTAAACATCACCGTTGGGAGGTCAGGTGTCTATAATTAAAGCTCGCAGGCGAGTTCGCTGAAGTGTCGAATCGGTTCGTTCAAATCTGTACAGTGGTTCAGAAGAAATGTCATGCTCACTGCCAATTTCGGCATGGATCGTCATATAACTCAAGGAATGAAGGAGAAATTCCAAAAATGTTCACGAGCTAAACATCACCGCTAGGTCTTAATGAAAACGTGTACCAAATTTAATCGAGCTACTTTCATTAATTTGGGAGATATTTCATGCTCACTGAATTTGGACGCCGGCCGTCAATTTGTCCGAGACGTAACATAGGTGCGAGATGATTTTGAGAGAAGAGTGACTACAGTCTTAGTATATCGAGTACGACTGGAAAGAATGGGTGAACAGCTGGTGTGGATTGTGGAAGATAAACGTCTAAAGAACGAGAGGGTGCAAATGCACGTTAACGTGTATCAAAGTGATGTGGACAAACGAGAGAAAGAGTGATTTGGGATATGAATGATAGGTCGTTATAAAGGGCATCGAATCACACTGAAAGAGTGAAGCGGTCAAGTATGAAGATATTTATGATCAAGGCATTCGTGAGACCTACAGTTTCGTGCAGGGTCAACTGCACTCCGCGTGTATGAGTCAACTGCACTCCGCGCCATCAAATGAGACGTTTATGGCGTATCGCGCGGCATGCATTGTTGAGTTGGTTGCGATTGTAGGCTAGTTAGATAAAGTAACTGTTCCTCTGGCTGAAGTTTTAAAAACATTGAGAATTGCGATCGTTTGGAGAAAGATTCTAAATAATTGTAAGCAATATAAATGGAGTTATAAGTGTCTCGCTCCTCATTGTTGTGTAAAACACAATTATTTTGGTAGTTCACAATTTCGTCGATTCTACTTCGTATTACAATACCGGTCATTGCAATAACAATTGAATGCAGAGTTTTTCGATTCGAATTTCTGCTGTCTCAGAACTAATCGTAACTTTCACTCCTTAAGTCCAACCTTTTCAGTCATGAGCGATTTCGATTATAGCAAAAAAAAATTATGAGTACATGAAGCCCCGTCACACGCTCAAACTTATCGTCATTCTTGCATGTCATGCCAGGTTTGACAAGATGCAAGTGTGTTTGATGACAAATGTGGACGCTCTAAGTTTGACGTCTTGCGTGACGGGGGAGTGGAGTTTGATGTTTGACAAACCTGGAAAAGACGGAAGAGCGAGAGCTTTGGGTTCGTGCAAGACTGAAGATAAGTTTGAGCGTGTGGACGGGCAACCGACTAATTGGTCAAAAATTTACTCTATCTCAGTCCATATTGATGTTGAGAGCTGTGACATTGTTCCTCGCTAGCTCTAGTTTTTCATTTCTCAAGATATCCGACACTGGTTTCTCGATTTATTTTGGTGAGTTTATCGAATTATATCGTAGTTTTTATTGTTTGTAGTAAATTCAATCAAAGGGCTACAGTGACAAGAACAAGAGAGCAATTTCCATTAATTGCTAAGTACAAAGAAGTCGGTCCTAAAGCTAACAGAGACTTTGTAGCGAAGAAAATAAACTCTTTATCGAAAAGAATGTGCCAAAATGAAGTCGTCAATACTCTCTGGTGCAGTTAGGGATGCTGTCTAAATTCGTCCGAGACGTTCTTATCGGTCAAACTTTGGCATGACATGCAAGACCATGACCATGATGCAAGACTGACGATAACTTTGAGCGTTTGGACTGTTGTTGAAGCTGCTGAAAATATACAGAGCTGTTGAAAATATACAGATCGTCATACATACATGTGTGTTGGGTCCTATCTACAGTAAATTTTAAAATGGATTATTGTATGCTACTTTTTATGCTGTGGTTTCTCGTTAACAGTAGCTGACGCTTACCATAGTTGTTTTAGTTATAGTTATTAAATTTCAGGATATATAACTAACACATCCCCGTGAAGTGATTCTATTAATTATTGTTGAAAATTTTCAAATATATTTTTACCCATCCCAAACCCATATTTATCTTTGGATAGGATTGTCATCAAATTCTGGGAGTAAATCAACTGGTTGTTTATATTCCATAATTTGCAGCCAGCAGATTTTACCACTAGCTAACTAATTTACGGATGGCTTGCGCACCGTCTGATAAAAGCGCGGGCTGTATGAAGAAACCTATTTCGACGTAACTTGGCTACTTGGGCCGATGTTGTGCTAATACGTATATTTTTTTAAGTATGAACTAAATGAAGAATAGCTATGGCGTTTCAGCGGTCGAAGGTCGCTCCCAATTCATCATCAAATAAAAACAACAGCGGAGAGTCAAGGTTAATTTCAAATCTACAGTAAGCCGAATACGGGATATTGCTTAGGTTAAAAAATTTGGTTACAATTTATTACTCGTGAGTCGTGACCGTGAGTCGTGACTGGCATTATGGAATAAACTGTTGGGTAGTATAAGGTAAAACAAAATATGTATAGATTATAGGTAAGGAATATCTAGTGTTTTTTTTCTTTTCTGGCCCAAATTTGTCTTCCATTTTTGATTTTGACACCAGTATCAGTATCACATCTTCAAAGCAAGATTGTAGAAATAAAATTTCCACCACAATTCATCAACTTGAGACAACCACGTCTGGTTGTTTTTGTCATTAATTCTTATCTATATTCTATAGTAGGTAGGGCATAGTGACAAACCAGAGATTTTTTAGAATCAGTTCATTTTTAATTTCCTCATTTATTCAAGATTTAAACCAATTTCTTAAATATGATAATGCTGGTATCCATGATACTTTACTGGTCTATTTATAGGTCTCAAAATTGGACTTGAGGGAGTCTAAATAAAAAACTCTCTGCTTTGCCACTATGAGGTAGGGCTATCATAAATTCTACATTTGTGACTAGTAGTGATATTCAATATACAGTTAGCATAGTTCATATTGAGCAAATTATAAAAAAATATTAGTAGTGTTGTAGCTTGTAGGAATATTGAAAATGCAAAATTTTGTCTAGATTATGAGTCTAAGATTTTCAAAAATCACCAGTGAAATGATCATCTTGCAATCATTATTTGTAAAATTAGGTAGGGTAAATGCGGTATACAATAGGGTAAACGCGGTATATTCCGACACTTTAAGGACGCATCGAAAAATGAAAAACTATAAAAAAAAAACCGTATGCGTTACGTAAGTTCTGTTGCCTTCACACGACTCTCAAAACACTTCACTACGCGTCAGCAACGATGAAACGTCACAAAATGTTGCCATATTTATTAAAAAGCCTTTAGAATGGAAACCTACCAAATCCCTATATTCCGTCATTTTGTGTGGCAACATCCGACATTGTATGACGTCACCATTTCAACCATCAATGAACGCATGGAACTAAAACAAAGCTTAATATAAAGGAAAAACTAGAGAAGTGACGGAATTACCTACTATGTCGGAATATACCGTGTTTACCCTATTCCGACATCGTAGGTAATTCCGTAACCTCTCCAGCTTTTCCTTTATATTTTTATATTAAGCTTTGTTTTAGTTCCATGCGTTCATTGATGGTTGAAATGGTGACGTCATACATTTGCGTGTCGAAACATAGTGGCAAACCACAGCTTTTTTAGAATCGGTTCATTTTTAATTCCTTATTTACCCAAGATTTAAATCAATTTCTTATGTACGATACTGCTTATATCCAGGATACTTTACTGGTCTCCTTATAGGACTAACAAATTAACTTGAGGGAGAGTCTAAAAAACTCTCTGCTTTGCCACTATGTGTCGAAATACTGCAAAAACACTAGGTCTTGGCCATCTAGTGGGAAAATATTGAGATCCAAAGAGAGACAATGCATGCCACGTGCCACGTGGTGAGATCATCAAAAAATGTGTCAAATTTGACAGTTGACATGGCTCTACCAAATAGTGAATAACTGTTTTTATAGGAAGAATATTGAGACTTTTAACTTTTAAATA